CGTTGAAGTCGCCTACTGCGTGGGGCAGATGCGAGCTCCACATCCGGAGTCTGCCACCCTCTTGCGCATTGCTCTTTTTCAGTATATGACCACCGGATAGCACGTATGTCGCGAGCTGCCTCCATTAGAATCCCCGTATTCGGAAATAAGGCCTGAGATAAACTGAATGGTATCTCGAAGATGAAATTAGCACTTGGCAACCAGTTTGACCACGTTGCAAAAAGTCGCACGGGTTGAGTCATATACGCTGTGCGGTGGGCGCTTTCAAGATGACTTAATGTGGTAGTTTGCATGTCGTTGCCGAGGGTGTCCGCAGTGTGTCTAATGGGCGCAGGGACGTGGACTTGCACGGCAACCAAATTGTAGTGAGAGTTGACTTGCGTGACACCTGCCACGGGTGTTTGATCGGGTGAAATTGACTGGCGCGGTGTTAACTCACGCCTCTGCCTACCACTGTGCACCCTGGTCCCCGCACGAATGATCAGGATTTCATACAACAGAAGGGAGGCGACAACTCGGCCACAGAGGCCATTTTAAGAAGAACTTTCAACGTTACTCTCCATCCGAGTTATCCCGTCTGTTAGCTACCTTCCACGTGACGACTTTTAACATGCCACGGCGACTCAAGCGCTAAATTGCCGGAAGGCGTGTATCCCACCCAAGTTGTTCAGCATCTCCCTTGATAATATTTCCGTCGTAGAACAAACACGACGGCACGGTGGACCGTGTTCTCGGAAGAGTCAGCAGCAATTACCACTACATGTGTCTGAAGCGAAGATGCAGATTATAATGAGGCACCGGGATATGAAGCGGCTTACAATTCCTGCCACACAAGTGGTCCCAGGGCCGCCGGTTAACCCCATGCTTTACCTGTAGGGTTTTAACTGTTATTGTGCGTCAGCAGACTCGTTAATGTCCTAAGAGATTGTAAATTTCAGGAATTCCTCTTTATATTCAACAATACCGTTCTCAGAATTATACGAACCTGTGCGGAGTTACCTATGAAGGAAGGCAGTTTCTGTTCGTATTTAAAATTGGCCGCCATTTTGGACTCGAATCACGCTCGATATTGTGCGGCCTCGAACACTAAATTCTCCATCATCCCATTCTTAAAAAAAACATTTTTTTCTCTGCAGTCCTAGAAACAGTCGATAGCGAGTACATCAAGTAGCCCATGCGTAAACAGTCAATTGTTTATTCACAATTTAATCCATGCAATAGCTTCAAGATGAAAGTGGTGGAACCGAAGGAACTTGTTATGCATGAAACAAGTTGCAGGGCTATTATAGAGATTTGCTGGGGGCGGGAGAAAAGTACTCCAAATGGGCATTCGAGCAGTAAATCCTAAGGTGAATTGCGGTACCCACACAAGGGCATCCTTCACGTCAACATATTTATAGCAAACTTTTTAGTGCCCATGTGAGCACAGGCAATTTTAACAGGGTCTAGCCAACGGCAACATTGCTAGTCTTTCCATAAAATATAACCCCATACGCCGGTCAAATTCGGGAAGTTCGACGTTTCTGTCTTGCTGAGCCCTGCTTCGCATTCCTCTAGACAGTGGATTAGGACAGAGACCAGGATCGATAGTAAGAGTTTGGAGCACGGACAGTTAACATCTCAAAATATTGTTTGGGTCATGAGAGACCCCGATTTCCGATAAAGTTGACTACCAAGTCGATTCATGCAAAGACACTGTTTTCTTTGATATGGGCCGCAAGCGCTGCGTGTAGCTTACAGGTTATTTTGCCGTGAAGAAAATATTTCTATTTGGAGGTACTGTCCGGAACACAAACGCTTGAGCTCTGGACTTCTAGAGAACAAGGAGGAAATGCTTGATATGTTGGTGCCTTACGGAATCATTGCTCTTAACAGTGGCTATTTGTCAAAATTTATCTCGCGAACCTGCTTCCGTCTGCCTGATATCCTGCTGGACAACCCACACGTATTTCCAGTCTTCTGCACCCTGATAACAGCGATAGTGGCGAAGACTAGTCACTCACCGGAATCATTGCTTTAATCATCTGAACGTTTGAACTCATATTGGAATCCAAAACAACCAACAATAATAAGGGACAGTCATGCAAGACAAGCCGGGGGAATTGGTTGAAGTCTGGGCCTTCGATGGGAGCGCAGGCAATCAATTTATCGAGCTGGCGCCGACATGCAGAACCCTCTACAGTCACCTCCGGGTGAGCGTTATCGATTTTTGATTTGCCCCAATTTCCTAAAACGGGTGGTTGTTCCTTTGCCACTTTTATCTCTAACGCTGCACTCCCGTAAGAGTTCAAGAACTCAGGGGAACGCCAGTAACATGCATAAAAGTCCCTAATCCTCTCTCTTCTGCCGCCATAACAAATCATTCAGTTAGTGAACCGCTTTTAACAACAAGCCGACTGCGTCAGTCCATAGAAAACGTTTCGTGTCTATGGGGATAGTGAAGTAGACGTAGGATTTAGCAGCTACAAAACACGGAGTCATGCCCACAGGCCGAACTTGTCCAATTATATCGTTGCACCAAGATCACTACAGGACCGGCCCCACCATTATGGGTGCCTAACTAGATTAACGCCACGCACGACACTGGTTGTCGACCCAGCAACAACGATAGCACAAGGGGTCACCTCTGACATGTGCGAACTTGTCGCGGCACGATCGGAAACCTAGTGTCCTGGATCATAACCAACACTTCTCAGGTCCGCTTACGACCAAACGCTATCCCAACATAGTCCAGTACTAGATGGGCCTATTAAATCAGGTGCACACAAACGTCCAAGTAGTCACAATACCGTCCACTGCTAGCGCAACCATAATGTGTGATGCGTTCTATACTTTGAGGCTTACGCGTGACACGCATCAGACAAAAGGCGTTACAAATGGCCGCCTAAAAATTCCAGGGGAAGAGGAACCGTGCACAATACATGAGGCTTTGCGCCAAATTCTGGAAAAGTAGGTTAAGGTGAGGATTAGGATTGAGTTTAGGCTTAGGTTTAAGTGTAGGGTTAGGGCCAAGATTATGTTAAGATTTAAGGTTTAGATTCGTATTAACTGTTGGTTTTAGGTCGTGCTTAGAGTTTAGAGAGAGAGAAAGAGACCAATTGGCGAGCATGCACATACTCCAACAGCTGCAGAACACTCTTCTTGAAAACGGATACCCAGAAAGGTTCATCCTCAAGAATATTGACGAATGCACCAAGAAGCCTACTTCCTTAACCGCAGAAAAGAAAAACATATTCATAAGACTACCTTTCTCAGGAGACGCAACCAGCGAGCTCGTAAGGCGACGACTGAAGACTGCTATCATAAACACTTTCCCAGCGGCAAAACTTACGTGTGCTTTTCACGAACTCTCCACTCTTACGATTAGGAGGTTAAGATAGGCTCCCATTGAAGGCCACATCCATGTGTATTTACTTCTTTACTTGCTCCTGTGGAGCGGGATACATCGGCCGAACAACGAGGCGTCTAGAAAAGAGAGTATGTGAACACGTACCGGCTTGGTTGAGTAAAGGCGAAACTAAATCGATCTGGAGCTCCATCCTCGCCCACTTGGTTGATACAAACCACCGAGTCGATACTAGTGAAG